CTCTTGAATTTTTTTTTATAAATATTATTGACTCTATTACAGTGTAGTATTTGTTCAATATACTTTCTTTTGAAGTCTTAAAACTTTTAAAAGACATTTGAGTTTGTACTTATACAAATTTAACGCCATTATTATTCACTATGATAGTATTAGATATAAAGAGACACTCTATTGATTGATATTGTACAATTTCTCTATATTTAAAAACATAATAATCTTTAATCCAGGTTATACTCCTGGTTTATGTCTATTTTTTCTGTTAATTTTTTTTTTTTTTTTGTACCTTATGTTATAAAAATTGTAGTACATCATTTTTTGAATAAAAATATTCTTACTATTATAATTTTTGTTATCTTTTCACATTATTATTACGATGCACATGCATACACAATATTGTTTCCTACATTCTTCAATGGTAAATTTAATTTTATTTAGATTTTAATTAAATTTTATCATAGTTAGGAAATTTCAATTTGGTCATATGAATATAAGGGTCTTGTTAATTTCAGTTCTTGACTTTTAAAAGTGTCAATTTAATACTTTAACTATGTAATTTTTGTCAATTTTGGTCACTCCGGTCAAACTGTCGGCCGAATTTCGTCAAAAAATTTTAATTATTAAAATAATGAGGGTGTGCAATAACTAAAATAGTCTCATTATTTTAGTTATTAAAATTTTTCCGGCGAAATTTGGCCGGAGTGACAAAAATTGACAAAAATTACATAGTTAAGGTACTAAATTGACGCTTTTAAAAGTCAAGGACTGAAATTAACAAGACCCCTATAGTCATATGGCCAAAATTAAAATTTCCTCTATTTAGTAATTTATCATTTCTATAATTCTTACTTCAATATATAGATTTTACAATTTTATACACGCACATGCACACACTATTATTTAAAAAATATATATAACTAAGATTTTAATATTTAATAATATTTAATATTGGACATATATTTGTACGCATCGCACATATAAAATACTAGCATAATATTATAAGAGAATATACTTACCATCAATATACTTTCTAAATTTCTAATACATGAAAAATTACAAATATAAATTGAATTTTCTTATAATGATGTTGGTAAAAATGTCATTGCTAAATAAAAAGTGGTAATAGTTGTATTTCGAAAATATTTTCTGGTCGACCATAGAAATTTGCAACCAATATTTGGAGTGTGCAGTGAATAAATTTCACTTATAACACATAAATCAAACATGAGACACTAAGAAAACTATGTGTGACAAGTTCGATTAAAAAAATATTGACAAAAATCAATTTCATAACATTCTAATACAATAAATAAGTCAAATTAGCTACAACTTTAGTTTTAATATATTGAATCACATTTTAGCATTGTCTTTAAAAAAAATTAAGAAACTTTGGAATGAAAATTACAAAATAGATAGTCATTGTTTTTTTCTCTTGCTAGTAATTAGAGATCTATGAATAATGATTGGAGGTGTCTATCCATTATTATATCAATAGAAAGATAACTTTGGAGCAACCTCAACTGAATTGAGACATTGATTAGGTAATTATATCGTTTAATGTTCGAATTTCTGTTGGAGTTGTCAATTGACCTTCTTGATTTAAGTTGATCAATTACGGGCAACCTAAGTTTATCTATTGGTTTGAGTTTATCATTCATGGACAATCTAAATTTATCTCTTTATAGGCATTTCTTGGTTTGAGTTAGTTAACTATGAGCAATTTAGAATGATTTATTGCATTATGTTCATTTGTCAACTAGAATTACAAGACATGTTTCATCTAAAGCACACTTTCTTACCGTAGCAAACCTGTACAGGGCGTTTGGTTGAAGGGAATTTAAATTCTCTTCTACTTAATTCCAACCTAATTCCAAAGGCCACAAAATTCATTTGTTTGGTTGAAAGGAATTGTAATTCCATGAAATTACAATTCCCCTATTTTCATGGAATTAAAATCCCATGTCCCCCTGGTATTTTAATTCCTTGAATTTTAGGAAGAAAAAAAGAGAGTGATGAATCAAAATTACCTTCTTTTTTTTTTTTTTTACTTAAAATTAATGCCTAACAACAACAATAGATATTTTTGACTTTATACTACTTATTCCCTTTCAATTCCCATGTATACCAAACATTATAATTAAAATTCTCAGTAATTATATTCTTGTAAACCAAACACTGGAATTTAAATTCCCACTTTATTCCCAGTAATTCATCTCCCATGAAATTGCAATTCTTTTTCCACATAATTCTCCCTCTCCAACCAAACGCCCAGTTAAAATTTAGCAATTTAATATCAAATGTTTATATTTTGTAACAAATTTTACCCGATTATATTACTCAATCCACTATTAGGATGACCCGATCTAAAATTATTAAATTAGACTATTATTTGACAACTAAGCATTCACATCATTATATGATTTGACATTAATCATAATTTTTTCAAATTATGTTGAATTGAAAATTAGTATTACGTTTAAAAAAAAAAAAAAAAAAAATATTTCCTCACCTAGAGATGTTTTTCTTTCGATACATAATAATAAAATTTATTATTTTATTTTAATATTTTATTATAGCATTTAGTTTTGAATCATTAAAAGTGTGTGTATTTTTAAAAGAAATTGTGGAATGAAATTTTTTAGTACATTGGTAGTACACTTTTGAAAGTTACATTTCGAGATTATAAAATCAAAGAATAAAGAAATTAATATTTTTATTCAAATAAAATAATAAATATATTATTAAACATTGCAAGAAAAATATCTCCATATGAATAAATAAGCCAAAAAAAATAAAATTATGTTAGTCTACAATTCTACATAAATTGAAAAAAATTATAACAATAATGTCAAATCATATTATAATATAGATGCTTAATTTCTAAATAAGAGTCCGATTTAACAAATTTGAGTCACGTAATTTTAATGGTGAATTGAATAGTATAATTGAATAAAATCGTTACAAAATATAAATATTTAGTATTAAATTGACAAATTTGAAAATTTTAAATATAATTACAACAAAATATAAGCGTTTATTTTTGTTAATAAATCTAAAAATAATGATTGTAATTTTATATGAGTAATAATAATGAATTATATAAATTCTCGAAATCTTAAAAAGGTAATTGAATATTTGAATTGATAGTACTTATTGCTTTTTTTTTTTTAAACAACGAGAGAGAACTTTTATTAAATCAACGAGACAATACAATCAGGTATAGAAGAAAACCAACAAACAGGATCAGTATATGAACGTGCTGTCGTAGCCAAGATATGTGCAGCCTTATTCAATGATCTAGAAATAAACCGAATAAACACTACCTCAAAGTGTCGTTTTAAATTCCGACATTTTCGGAGAACACCACCTGCGAAAGAAAAATCTTGCAAAGTGTCATTTAGCAGGTTACACACCATTTGACAATCTGAATGAATAACAATATGCTGCAGATTATTTTCTTTAGCCCAAGATAGGGCCTCTTTGACCGCCATAGCTTCTGCAAGATGTGCGTTGTTTACAGAAAAACATAAAAATTACAGAAAATGATAAATAGACTTCTGGGGAGTAAAACTCTCGTCTGTTTTGATTTTATTGGAGAAATATGAAAAGATTAAAAAAAAACTGTAATTTACATTTTTTAAATAAATCAAAGAATATCATTTAAATAGAGAGAAAAAAATGGAATAGAATGTGAAAGTATATAATAAAAAAAAAAAACATTACTCCGTATTTATTTCCAAAAACAGTGCCAATCTCAGTAAAAAGAACCCAGAGACTGTGGTAAAGCTGTAAAATCTGAGGAGCGACAGATCGGCCTACTCGTTCAACGCGGACGTGGCGAAAAGCAACGCTGTCTTTGACGTGTCCGCACTCCATTGGCTTACCAATCCAACGTGGAATATTGAAGTCGTCATAAACCCGCTGTCCACATCGGTCCAAAGCAGTCAGTTTCTCAACTCCCAACGAATTCGATAAAACCGAGGTGGGGCACTAGATATTCGGTTACAGGTGCAGTTGGATCTGTGTCCGTCCATTTCGGATGTCAGCACTTCACATCCGTCGGATCAAACGGTTAAAAGTAAAACTGTGAAAATGGAGTGTGCTGCTGATACTTACGTAATATTCCAAAAAAAATATGCATAATTACAGCACGTGCCATCCTTGAAATTGATTCTCTTTACTTTAAAATGGAAATTAAAGCAGTGGGATTTCATGGGTTCAAAATCTCACTACACAAATATTCCAAAAATTTGTTTATTTTTTGATTCTAAAAAGTAAGATTGTTTGAAGATTTAAAAATTATGATAAGAATATAATTATTTTTGGAAAAATAGTGTTATTGAACTTTACTCGAAAATGTAATTAATTTCCTGAATTTTAAAAAAGTTCAATTAAATACTTGAACTTGTCAATATGAGTCAAATAAGTCTGATTTATTAGTAACCAATAGGTTACGGATAAAATTATCACCGTTGACCATCATAGACTACCTTTGACCAATGTTCACCGTCATTAAAAAAATTGAATTACTAGTGACCTTTTTCACCGAAGAAGATGATCACCCGTTCATCTTCTCCCCTGAAGAAGGCGACTGGTTATGGTCGCCAAAATTTTTCTTTCAATTTGAACAGTCGATAGAATTTGTCAGTCGTCAAAATTGTCATCGGAACCTTAATAACATGTTATTCTAAGTGGGTAACCAACCAATTATTGAGTTTAAGTGTACTAAAATAACAAATTTAAATGTTTAATTATACTTTTTTAAAAATTTTAGAATTTAGTTGTATTTTCAAATAAAGTTCAAGGTCTATATGAGTTTTTTTTTTTTTTTTTTTTTTTTTTTTTTTTTTTTTCCCAATGGTTTGGATGACTTTTGTGTACACTCTACAGGAGACAAGAAATCACACGTAAGCTTCCATGGCATTTGAGTAAATCTTTGCAAAGAGGAGGCCAATCCTATATACACACACTGTCCCAGACTCTCAGTGCATATCTAGCCGCTTGACTTCCCCAGCGTTCATATACCGGTCACAATAGACACGATCTATATGCATATCCTCTGAACTGTCCGGCGGCTTTTTCCGACCAGTCCTTGCTTCAGTTTTGAACCACAAATCTCAGTTTGGATGTGTTCTTAACTCGTCGCAAATCAGATCGTTTTCCGATTTCCTCCGACCGGTTTGCTCCTCTGATCGAATTGGTATTGCTTTCGGATCCCCATGTCTCTGTTTCTGCATGCGCGTGAGAGAACTGAGTTCAGCTCGTTATTGAGTTTCTCCTTTTCTGTGATTGTTTTTGCATCGATCGTAAATGTATCATCTTTAGATCTATACGTATCTGTAAATTTGTATGTTTGTATTGCATGCATCTGTATCTACTCGCTCTAGTTGTTCTTAGTAATCGTTTTATCACTTTTCTATGAGAGTGATCTGAAGTCCGAACTAAGATTGGGATAGAGGCGTAGTCCAGTTGACCGATTAGCATTTGTTTGGTTTCGGAGTTTTAATGAGTTTTAACTGGCTGTTTGAATGTGCATATGTGCTAATTTTTTTCGATCTACGGATTATATGTTACTAGATTAAGTCCCGTTTTTTTTTTTTTTTTTTTTTTTTTTTTTTTTCCGGATTTTCAAGCTATGAGAAAATACTATTTTTTTTGGTTACTCAAAGAGAAGGGAACCATTAAACTACAAGCTCCTTGAATGTAAATAAATGCATTTTCCCCCCCTGTTTTTCATTCACTTAAAAAGTTTCTACTTTTGAATCACTGTTATTTTGGCTTGTTTATGGAAAAAGGTTCATTCCTTCTAGGAGTACTAATTTTTTGGTGTTTAGTGGACATTTTGTATAAAGGTTTGACCAAATATCTTTCATCCAGAAGCATAAATTTCACTCACTTTGCCATTTTGGTGTGTCTGGAACTTGAGAATATGTGCGCCCCAATTTCTCTTGCCTAGTGTATATTTGGTAAATAAATTAATTGCATCCAAGCATGCCTTATGAGGAAACCTTTTAGGAGTTGTGACTATATTTCTGCAGATCTTTAGCTGCTGTTGAAATGGCATCAACAGCTGGAGCCACAGGATGGTTGAGGGGAAGAGTGAAAGCAGTTCCCTCCGGTGACAGCTTGGTGATTATGGGGAGTACAAAGGCTGAAATACCCCCAGAAAAGACCATTACTTTATCATCTTTACTTGCACCAAGATTGGTATGGCAATTAAATTTTCATCAATTACATATTTCTTAAATTAAGCTAAGCTGTCTGCAGTTTAACAAACATTTAAACTTCTCCATTCAGTTCTCATCTTCCATGATTTTGCCAATCCATAATTTCATGCCATCTGAACTGCCTTTATAGGTTTATCCTTTATATTTTATGACTTTAGGGTGCTTTCCTTTTATACGTGAATATTTTTTGCAAGTCTTGAAACTTGAAAGTAGTTCCAAGTGTTCTATGCAGAGTCATTTAATGCGTGTCAATTTTGCAAGTCTGAGTTGGTTGCATCTCTATGATGCCAAAGTTATTAATTTGGGCTTGCTTAACTATATTGTATTTGCATTTGATATCTAACATGAACTCCACATGATTTGAATATTGCTCTTAATTTCACATGTAGGCCCGTCGTGATGGTACTGATGAACCATTTGCATGGGACAGCAGAGGGTTTTTAAGGAAACTTTGCATTGGAAAGGTGCTCATGATTTAAACTATATCTAGCTTGCAATTTTGAACTTTTATTTTTTGCACATATAATATGACCATTAATTTTGCCCCTTTTTTGGTCTGTAGGAGGTTACTTTCAAAGTTGACTATGCTGTTCCATCCATAGGCCGAGAATTTGGCTCTGTTTTCCTCGGTGATAAGAATGTTGCATTAATGGTTGTTGCTAAAGGCTGGGCAAAGGTTATATTGGCATTAAATCTGTTATCTTAATCTACAGTGCTGTTTTAGAATTGTCATTTGTTTCTTATGGTTCAGTTAATCTGATGGTTGCAGGTTAGAAGTCAGAATCAACAGAAAGCAGAAGCTAGTCCCTTCTTAGCAGAACTACTGAGTCTTGAAGAACAAGCCAAGCAACAGGGTCTAGGTTGCTGGTCCAAGGTAAGTTCCAATGTATTGATACTTTTTAGTTAAATAAGTATCTAGATTTATATTTGATTCCTATTACAAGAAGAAAGATTCTAAAGTCATGCTGAGTTCTGTCTGTGAACTGCTAATATTTTCCACATCTACAAAAAATTTTCCCCTTCTACTCATACACCTATTTACAACTTGTAATCTTGTTATATTACTTCACCCTTGTTGTCAAATGAATTCCTAAGCTGCTATTGTACTTTTGCAAACTAATATTCTTTTCCAGACTAATATATTACTAGTCTCTCTCTCTCTCTCTCTCTCACTCTCTTATGTGAAATGACTGGTGTTACTTGAACTTCTTCTATTTCTTTTGTTTTTCTATATCAATTTGTACTCAGAAGTGATAAAATATGCATCTGACAGGCTTATGTTATTACCTTAATGACCTAACTAGTTGTTGCACAGGAATCTGGTGCTTCCAATGCATCCATAAGAAACTTACCTCCATCTGCCATTGGTGATCCTAGTAATTTTGATGCAATGGGTCTTTTGGCTGCAAATAAAGGTAGAAGTATGGAAGCTTTTGTGGAGCAGGTTCGCGATGGAAGCACCCTTCGTGTCTATTTACTTCCAGGCTTCCAGTTTGTCCAAGTCTTCATTGCTGGAATTCAGGTTCTATCCAGTTTTGTGAAGATTTTTTCAGTGAAATATTTAATTATGCTCTACCAATCTTACTCGTTTGCTTGTGTAGGCACCATCCATGGGCAGAAGAGCTACAACTGATACTGCCATAGCAACTGAAGTTACTGCACATGAGGCAAATGGAGATTCATCTGCTGAGCCTCGTGCTGCCCTAACATCAGCACAAAGACTTGCAGCCTCAACGGCCTCGATAACAGAAGTTGCATCTGATCCATATGGGAGAGAAGCCAAACATTTCACAGAAATCCGTGTTTTAAATAGAGATGTGGGTGTACTTGTTATATTGATAGCTCTAGATTTTGTGTACATATTTCTAGAATTTTTTGTTCTGACTATTTAATTGCAGGTCAGAGTCATCCTAGAGGGTGTTGATAAATTTAGCAATCTGATTGGTTCAGTATATTATTCAGATGGTGAATCACCAAAGGACCTGGGTTTGGAGCTTGTGGAAAATGTATGCTGCAAACTTTCTATCTCTTTTAATATTTAATAAAATTTTGAACAAGAGCAATAAGATCTAAAGGTATATGGGCATACTTGGATGAGCCAGACTCTGAGAATGATAAAAAGGACCTCTATTCTGTGTGTGTGTGTGTTTTTCAAAGGTCCATATTCTTGATTTCTTCTTGTTATTCTCATCAGTACCCAGACTGATGTTAACAGCATCATGTCTTTCTCTAAATACTTTCTTTACATATTTGCATCTTAAGATTCTACCCTAAAGCTACTGTTGTCAACTCTAATGACTTTCATAATCCTTTCTAGGGTTTTGCCAAATATGTTGAATGGAGTGCAAGCATGCTTGAAGATGATGCCAAGAGACGATTGAAAAATGCAGAACTTCAAGCAAAGAAGGTTCGTTTGAGAATGTGGACAAACTATGTTCCCCCAGCAACAAATTCAAAAGCTATTCATGATCAGAATTTCTCAGGAAAGGTAAGTGTGTGTTGTATTGACCTTTTAGACTAACATTATTTGAGAGCTTGTACTCATCTTGCTTTGCTTCTCTTTAGGTGGTTGAGGTTGTAAGTGGGGATTGCATTATTGTCGCTGATGATTCTCTGCCATTTGGAGATCCATCTGCTGAGAGACGGGTCAATCTTTCAAGTATTAGGGCTCCCAAAATGGGGAATCCTCGTAGAGATGAAAAACCTGCTCCATACGCAAAGGAAGCAAAGGAATTTTTGAGAACACGACTCATTGGAAAGCAAGTATGAATGCACACTTCAATATTTTTGGGCTCATTGATAGACTATTAGACTGTACAGGTAGGATTACTGATCTTAACTCCTTTCAGGTGCATGTTTCAATGGAGTACTCTAGGAAGGTTAACATGGCAGATGGAGCTGTTCCTGCCACCAATGGAGCAGATTCAAGGGTTATGGATTTTGGATCTGTCTTCCTAGTGTCTAAGGATGGAGATGAAGCTTCCTCTGCTCCATCTGCTGTGACTAATCAACAGGTTGGGGTGAATTTTGCTGAACTATTGGTTGCTCGTGGTTTTGCGACTGTTATTAGGCACCGTGATTTTGAAGAAAGATCAAACTATTACGATGCCCTTCTCTCTGCTGAGTCACGTGCTGTGGCTGGAAAGAAGGGTATGCATTCTCCCAAGGAACCACCAGTGATGCATATTACAGACCTGACAACGGTTAGTGTCCTATTTTTTTATGTTGAAATTTCTTAAGAGAGTTGATGAAGTAAAGAATTAACCAGTTATCATTTGAATATTTTCAGGCTTCTGTGAAGAAAGCCAGGGATTTCTTGCCTTTCCTGCAAAGGAACAGGAGGATGGCTGCTATAGTGGAATATGTTCTTAGTGGCCATCGGTTTAAGTTGTACATTCCAAAAGAAACATGCAGCATTGCTTTCTCATTTTCTGGTGTGAGATGCCCAGGTCGGGCAGAGCCATATTCAGAGGAAGCCATTGCCCTTATGAGGCGGAAGATAATGCAGAGGGATGTTGAGGTAATCTTATTATTATCTATTAGTTTTGCTTCCTTTCACTTTCTTCAGTTGCTCAACTTTTTGGAACTTTCTCTGCACTCAGGTTGAAGTAGAAAATGTTGATAGAACTGGAACTTTCATTGGCACATTATGGGAATCAAGAACCAATGCTGCAGTGGCACTTCTGGGAGCTGGATTGGCAAGGCTTCAAATGTCTTTTGGTTCGGACAAAATTCCAGATGCTCACCTTCTTGCTCAGGCTGAGCAGTTGGCGAAAAGGCAGAAACTCAAGGCATGTAACTGGAAACATATTTTTGTTGGTATTTCTTTTCCTTTTTACCTGTGTTAATGATCTTTTTCTAATACAGATTTGGGAGAACTATATTGAGGGAGAGGAAGTTTCCACTGGTCCTGTTGTTGAAAGGAGACAGAAGGAAGAATTGAAGGTGAAGTAGTTTAATTGTTCTTTTAATTACTTCCGTATTAGTCTTATGTCAATCTTTTTTGCATTATTCATTTTGTCAATTGAATCATGGTCTCAGGTAGCTGTTACTGAAGTCTTGGGTGGTGGGAAGTTCTATGTCCAGTCAGTTGCAGATCAAAAAGTGGCCTCCATTCAGAAACAGCTTGCTTCTCTCAACCTTCAGGAGGCTCCTGTTATTGGTGCTTTCAATCCTAAGAAGGGTGATATAGTGCTTGCACAGTTTAGTGCAGATAATTCATGGAACCGAGCAATGGTAAGAATTAAAAACCAAAGCCCCATATTTGATTCTGTGCCAGTGCCAACTAGGACACTAGACTGCCTGCAAGAAATTTATTTCATAAAAGATTTGGCTATTGGTGCCCACTTAAATTAGATTGTTGGCAAACTGAAATACCTAAATTTTCCTGGAGACATGCTAAAATATGGGGAGAGAGAGAGAGAGAACATGTGTATATTAATATATATTCCATTTATTTGATTAGTTCCCTCTTATTGAATTTATTATACTTTTTCCCCCCTTCACTTTAGTCCCTTATTCTGATTTTATGATTCCCCTGCAAAGATTGTGAATGCCCCTCGAGGAGCTGTGGAGTCTTTGAATGACAAGTTCGAAGTGTTCTACATTGATTATGGAAACCAAGAAGTTGTTCCCTACAGTCAGTTGCGTCCGGCTGATGCCTCAGTATCCTCTGCTTCTGGCCTTGCTCAGCTTTGCAGTCTTGCCTTTATTAAGGTTCCCGGTTTGGAAGATGATTATGGACAAGAGGCTGCAATCCATCTAAGTGAGCTCATCCTTAATGCTCCCAAGGAATTCAAGGCTGTGATTGAGGAAAAGGACACATCAGGTGGAAAAGTCAAGGGACAAGGAACGGGTACCGTCTTTATGGTTACTTTGGTTGATCCCGAAGCTGATGTCAGCATTAATGCTATGTTGCTGAAGGTTTGAAATCTTACCCTTTTTTGGAACTTTGTAACTTATGTCTTTCTTAAGCATATATATAAATATATAAATATAAACAAAGTTTACAGTGCTATAAACATCAGTGCATCTTGCACCAGTTGCAACCAAAAAGTAATTTTGGGTTTGTACCATATTGTCCCCGAATGTAAGGTACAAACCTAAAGCTTTCCCAATCCTAAACCTAAAACAATATGTTCACGCATTACTTGTAACTCATCAACCGGGGCGGATCCAGAGGGAGGGCAATGGGGGCAGTTGCCCCCCCTCCCCACTCCCATTATATATATATATATATATATATAATATGCTTTAGTATACATAAATAATGTATTTATTATATATAAAAATCATTGAAAATTGAAGTAGCTTAGTTGGTTGGTAATGAGTTTTTATTACAAAAGGTCTAGGATTTTGAAGTTTTTTAAAAATTTTTGCCTCCAAGGACTAAAATTTTTGGCTTTGTCCCTGCTCATCAATAGAGATTCTTTCAATTATCTCTCTGGTGAGCAAGAGTCCTATGCTGATGATACTAATAGTTTGCATTGGCATCCACAAAATGCAGGATGGAGTGGCTAGGTTGGAAAAGAGGAGAAGATGGATTCCCAAAGAGAGTCTAGAGGAATTGGAAAAAGCCGAGAAGGAAGCACGCGAGAAGAGGCGTGGAATGTGGGAGTATGGAGATGTTGATTCTGACGATGAAGTGTCAGCTGCGCCCCCTGCTAGGAAAGCTGCCGGCAAACGCTGAGCAGTTTGTGGTTTTGTAACAATTATGTAGAGGGAGGTTCCTTTCTACTGCCAGGCACAACCGTGGTAAAATTACAGGTAAGAAAATTGCTGTTCTGTACTTTGAGAGAATAGAAAGAGGATGCGTTGTTAGCTTTCTATAATTTTGGTTCTTTTTGTAACTTAGGAAGTGACTTCTTGAGAGACAAATTTTGTTTAGTTTTTAGCTTTAGTTTAATTTTTTAAATTTGTTAAATTATACTACAGTAGTAAATAAGGGAACCCCCGAATGTAACTTAACAAGGATGTGACTTCTCGGAGTGCTTCAGAGACAAATTTTGTTTTTAATGTGTTCCATTTCCTAAATTATACTCCTTTACTCACATTTTGTGTCTTGTTTAGGCTAAAATCTAGTAATTTTTCTTTTGGGTAATATTTATTAATTATTATTAATAAATGCAATTTATTTATTTAGAAATTATTTTGAAGTAGTATATACAAAAAGTCAATTTAAAAATTATTTTAAAAAATCTGAAAATGTGAACAAAATAAGTATAGGAAGTTAGGAACCATGTTATGTTATTATAAGAAAGGAAAATACTACTTAGACTTTCAAATTCTACTCAATTTGGGAGTTCATGTTGTAGAACTTTATAATAAAACGGGTTACTCTGATTAAGTATGCTATAGCCTTATAGGAAGTCCCAAATTGCATTATTAATACACACATCTTTGTTACAAACATAAGAGACTTAGAACAGACCTTTGTTTATTTATACATAAACACCAAAGGAATACAATGATAGAAATTGAATTTTAACTTTCAGTAATAAACTAGTTGGAATAAGATTTCAAATTGAGCAGAAAAACTCAAATATGTTGAGATGTTACAAGCTCACTTTAGTCACAATGTCTCACTTATGACACTCTTATAACACTGAGTTGTGACTTGTCTAGTTGCCTTTAGGTGAAAGGCAACATAAGAGCAAGATCATAATATTACTAAAGAATAATACTGATCTTGGAAGGTTTAAATTGGATCATTTGTACATGAAGACTTGGATTTGATCGGTGGGCTAATTGCGTGACTTGTGATTTCCTGTAGACTTAGGATTAATCCGGTCAAATAGGGATTACCAAAGTTAAAAAATAAAAATAAAAATAAGAGTTAATTCCCAAAATGGTCCTCTGACTATGGACTTTTTTTAAATTGGTCCATTGACTTTTAATTTCTCCAAAGTGGTCCTCTGACTCTTGAATTTTAAGTTAAAATGGTCCTCTGTTAGCTTTGTCGTTAAGTTGGTGTTAAAACTTAAAATGAAGGGTAAAACTGGAAATTTAGGTTTTGCACTCCAATTTAAAGTAATTTGTGATTTCTTTAAGCAGTCTGCGCGCATATTTCTTCAAATTAGGTTTTTGCTCTCCTAAATCTGCAGTCTAAATGTGGGATAATCAACTAGAAGGCCATAAATCTTTTCCTTGGGAAGTTTGTGGATGAAGTTGAAGATGAACTTTTTTGGCCTTCTAGTTGATTGTCCCATATTTTGATTGCAGATTTAGAAGAGCAAAAACCAAAACCTAATTTGAAGAAATATGTGCGCAGACTGCTTAAAGGAATCACAAATTACTTTAAAGTGGAGTGCAAAACCTAAATTTCCAGTTTTACCCTTCATTTTAACACCAACCTAACGCCAAAGCTAACGAAGGACCATTTTGGCTTAAAATTCAAAAGTCGAAGGACCATTTTGAAAAAATTAAAAGTCAATGAAGCAATTTGAGAAAAAACGATAGTCAGAGGACATTTTAGAAAATAATTCAAAAATAATTCACTTACTATTTATTAGAAAGTCAAAATTAATGAAGTTGGTCAACTGAGATCAACGTAAAAAAAAAAAAAAAAAAAAAAAAGCTTCATTGTTTTGCTAGCTTACTGAATTTCTCTAGTTTTAAGTTTTCACAATGAATATAATGATTTAAATCACTTTTTTTTTTTAGATAAGATGCAACTCGTAATAGTACTTACCATTATCTTGAATTTTGAAGAATTAGTTTTCTTTGGACTAAATTATTCAACGCTTTGTAACTTCCCTAAAAGGTTCTGGCTTAAAAGGTTTTACCATTCAATTTCTTTTTATGTTAATTAATTTAATATTAACGAATTTACTTCAAATATTTAATAACTACTAAATATTATATTACATTTTCAAAAAATTCAAATTTAAAAATTCTAACCAAAAATTAAGAGAACATAAAAGAGTAGGGTAGCATTTGGGTCTATAGTTCAGTCTTTTTCAATTTTGGTTTCTTCACCTTTAAAAAAATGAAGCCACTATATTTAACAATGTAGTTCGGTTCAATTTGAAAAAGTTAAATTCTTTTTCAATTTTGGTTTCTTCACCTTTAAAAAAAAATGAAACCGTTATGTTTAACAATGTAGTTCAATTCAATTTGAAAAAGTTAAATTTTCGTTTAGATTTAGTTCGATTTGAACTTCAATTAGATTTGAGAATCTTAATATTTACTAATTTTCTAGTGCACATAAGTATTTATTTATATTTACTAATAATACGGAGTATAAGTTTAAAAATGCAAACAAGTCAATAAGCATATTTCAAAATTCTCAACCAACAAGTCTACAATACATATTCAAAATAGCAAAGTCCAAAGTTCAAAGTTCACATAACAAAATAGCAATATAAGTGTTTAATAGAGTAATACAAAATAGTAAAATACAAATCAATTTAGCCACAATCACACCATCACCAATTCATCATATCTTGTTCCTCAAAGATCAATATCATGACGTTGTCCTGCTGATTTGTGGATCTCTATTACAACAAAACAAGATAAAAATTAACAAGTCATAGAATCATAAACTATGGTATATACATAGATTGATTAATTAGAATTTTACAAAGACAATACCATAATAAAATATAGAATTAATAATTACCTTCTTCAAGCAAATCCATAAATTCAGTTTCCTCTAATATTTGAAGGACGCTTACTGTTTGATCTGATTGAAGTGAAGATCGTAACCAGTCTTGTGTCAAAATCAATACCTCTACCTTATACGGTGTCAAAGAACTCTGGTATTGGTTTAAAATACGACCTGAAGTGCTAAAGGCAGACTCAGATGCAACACTTGAAACTGGAACTGCAAGAACATCACGTGCTATTTCTGACAAGATTGGAAATTTCATACTTTCTTTCTTCCACCATGACAAAATATCAAATTGCATACCCAAATTGTTTTGTGTTGGGTTTTCAACCTTTTCCATCAAATATATGTCTAGCTCATTTGATGTTTTCTCCACATCTCCTTTTTCACATACCATGTCAAAGTACATGGGAACAAAATTTCGAATTTGTGGAACATCACAAACACCAACATGTAAGAATTCCAATTCACTAGTTTCACAATATTGGTTTAAACTTCTACTTTCAGTTTGATTTGTACTTGCACTTGGTTTAGCATACAATTCACGGTATACTTCATACAACTTACGCAACACTTCCATTACTGCTTCTTTCATTTCAATACATTTTGCTGTATTTTTTCCATACAGTATTTCAAAACAATATGTCACAAAATTCATCTTACACCGTGGATCAAACACACTAGCAATAATCAACAATTTATTGATCTCAAGTCCGTCCCAATACTTATCAAACTTTTTCTTCATTTCAGAAGCCATGCTACTCATGTTGATATCTCTACTATTAATGAATGCATTCAAATTTGCTTCAATTGTGCATATATCATTGAAACAATGGTTAGATGTCACCTTTTTATATGAAGAAATTTCCAAAGTTGCATCATAGAAAAGTTTCAAGAATTGTACCAATCGACGGACATTCTCCCAATCATTTGATAATGGCGGTCCAACCCTTTTCTTTCCATTTTCATTATCTTGAAAGTAAGTATCATACGACTTGTCTTCATCAGCCATCCGATCAAATGCTGTCCTATACTTAAGAGCTGTAGACAACATGAGATATGTAGGTCCAACCCTTTTCTTTCCATTTTCATTATCTTGAAAGTAAGTATCATACGACTTGTCTTCATCAGCCATCCGATCAAATGCTGTCCTATACTTAAGAGCTGTAGACAACATGAGATATGTAGAATTCCATCTAGTATTACAGTCTAAAATCAAACTCCTTCTAGTTAATTTTTCTTGCTCTGCACATATGTGAAATGCTTGAAATCTCGAGTTTGATGATCTCACATACTTCACTGCATTACGAACACTAACCACACTACTACCCAACTCTGACAAGCCATCTTTTACAAACAAATCCAAAATATGGGCACAACAAAGCACATGCATAAACTCTCCGCCCAATATTAATGGATCATCTTTCCAACACTTCAACTTATTTTTCAAAATCCTAATTGCACTATCATTGACTAATGCATTATCAACCGTGATAGTAAACACTTTTTTAATACCCCAATCAATCAAACAATTCTCAAATTGTTTTACAATTGTCTCACCTTTATGATCATAAATAGGCTTAAAACTGATAATCTTTCTATGCAACTGCCAGTCCACATCAATATAATGTGCAGTGATAACCATATAACTAACCGTAGTAGTTGCAGTCCATATATCCATAGTAAAAGACACTCTTGACTCACTAATCATCCTCTTCAATACAGTTTTTTCTTTCAAGTAATGTTCAACAACATCTCTTGTGATTGTTCTTCTTGAAGGGATAATATATTTTGGACAAACAACACTACAAAACTGTTTAAACCCCAATCCATCCACAAAAGAAAAGTGCAAGCCATCCAAAATAATCATTTTAATTGTTGCCCTTATGCAATCATGTTGGTTACCACTAGTTGTTGCACACTTAAATTGCTTTCTACAATAATTACAAGTACATTTATCCTTGGTGGCCTTTAACCTTGTAAAGGAAGTCCATACCTCAGCCCTTGGAGCAATTGATTTTAGTGGAAGTGGACTAGTTAACCGTTTCCTCTTTTGTCCCACAGCCCCGACCAACTCTTCGATTGGCTCAGTTGTAAAATTTTGTTGACAAAATGAAGAACCATCCATCTATTTAAAATTTACAACCAAAAGAAAAAAAATAGAGTCAATATCACATATTCACATTATTACGTAATGCTTAATACCAGCCATACCCATCTGCCACAGGCGCAGCTGCCCAGCCTGCCCTCCACCACAGCCCACAGCCATCTATCGCATCCCTAACCTAACAATACTATAATAGGATACTTGGATTATAGAATAAAGAAGAAGACTCACCATGCGGCCGTTGGGCGGCCGAATTTTTCCGGAATTCCGGCGAACCTGCGACGATGCGAGATTTTGGCGAGGCTGCGTAATGCGTAGGGTTTGAGCACTTGAGC